TATCTGATACCAATATATTTATGAACTTTGAAGTTGTGTTAAATTGGGTCACCTTATTTTAAATCGAACGAATGAAGTAAATCCGTAGATTGAGCGACATTCTTCTTCATAACATTCACGTAGTTTCAAGTTTATTTGAATTTATTGAACAAATATATAATTAAGTAGGTATATTAACAATAAATTATAAAACACTTTGATCAGACAATCTTTAAACGATAACTATTAATTAAACACTAAAAAAAGTGCTTTTCTTTCTTAAAACATTAAGAAGTTTAAACAAACTATGAATAAGAACATTTAAGTTGCTTAGAACGATCATCTTCAGGTCAAAAGCTTGAAACGTTTTTCTTAAAGTTCCCATAGTACATATAAATTATGGGGATTAGTACATAGTACAAATCCCCATAGTACATATAACTTTCTTTCCTTATTATTTACCTGGAAAATGGTATTGAAAACTGACTGGAATACAAAATAATGATCATCCAATACAGGCACAAATCAATTTAAAACTTTGTTTTGTAGAAACCGAAAGAAAATTATAAACTTGGGTTCTATTGAGTAATTTTTTTAAATCACGCAGTTACAATGTCTTTTGATGCATTTACTTAATAAAAACAACATTATTACTAGCATTAAACCGAAATTGACCACCATTTTAAATAATATTATTCTTAAAACTCTTTAATTTTTATATGTAGGTAGTTAATATATTTTAGACATAATTCGAGCGGTTGCAGTTTAATTGTACCATCTTTTTACGAGAGATGAATAAGATTCTATAAAATAGGCTTCATTAAAAAACCATAGATTATTCCATAAAGTTGCTAAGTTCCTCAAGGTTTAAAAACTGGGGGCATTCGAAGTGTGAATGTACAGACGCATCCTTCGTATATCCTGGACCGAATATATTACTTACAAAGAAGTAATCCGCAGAATTAGAAGAAAACTTGAATATCTCGGTATTAAAATGAGACACAATAAGTACCGCCTGATTCAACTGACTATCCAAGAAAAAATATACAGCAGACGAGGGCCAGGCAGGAGGAGACACTCGAGGCTCCGAAATCTACGTAAATGGTTCGGGCTCACATCTATCGAACTATTCAAAAGTGCTTTAAGCAAGATAGATTTGTCATGATAATAGCGAACGCTCGTAGCGGACAAGGCACCTGAAGAAGAAGGAAAAGTCATAAAACAATAGGGCAACAAATCAAATAACTCAACCAACTCTAAAGAAAAAAAGTTTTAACGTGCTGCACATTCAACTCTCTACAAGGTAACAGTTGGTACAGGAAAATTACGAAAATACTATTTCTCAACTCAATTTAGAGATAGTAAGGCATACTTTGAAAGCAAAGAAAATAATATAAAATCATTATCTGCTTTTTAGATAGGCATTCATACAATGCAGATACAAAGACTTGGTATTTTTTATTAATTTACTATGGACTGACCATTACGAGTGTACGTTTCCAGTTTCCAAGTAGAACAGTATCCGTCTCATCATTAAAAGTAGCCCTTTGTTCTAATTTTAAACCGCTTTGTTTGCGGAATGGCCTGCCAGCAAGAGGCATTCTGAGTGCCTGGTAATTTGAGTATTTTCGCAGAAGTTGAGCAAACCGGCTAATAGGCAGGGCTGCGTCCTCCGGGAGACGTCGCGTGCTGCCTCTGGATGCATCTGGCGCAGCTCCCATCAAGGATGCTGCTGTAGCAGCGGGTGCGTTGCCCGGCAACATCAGATCAATAAAACAATCAAACGACTACGCCCTCGAATCTGACACTCTTGTTCGGAAATCGGAGTACACTGCCCCACAAAAAATCATCACCCCAGCCGATTGCATCATTTTGTTACGAAGCAAACTTATGCAACAGAACAACAGATTGTCAAACCAAAACTATCTACATCGAAAAGCTCATTGTCAACTCATAGTCGCTGTATAATACAGGGTGTTTAAAATTGGTGGCGTACGTTCTGAGGAGTTGTCCAGGAGGACCAAAGAAGGGCAAAGACATATTTTGAAAAATCAAATCTCACAAGAAGCTGAGAAACTCGCAAAAAAATTCAGCAAGAATAAGGCAACAATGTATTGGAATGCGGGCGGAACCGCCATAGCCTTTTTTTCATCATAACCTGATTCATTAACAATGAGAAATTCGAAATCTAGAAATGTTACACGTCAAATGGTAGACATTGGTGCAAGAAAATTGAAACCACGCCTTATCCGAAAGTTGATATTTTCGACCTTGTCTGTCTGTCTGTGGGTTGATCCGGCTTCTTATACATACACATACTCTGAGTTTATGTTCAGAGGGGTACTCAATGACGCGACTGAGGGCATCACAATCAACATCACCCTTGTCCGTCAGTAACATTCGCTACGCAAATGAGACTGTCATTATAGCTAATTCTCTCTGCACGGTCACCTTCGGAACCTGATAGATAGAGTAGCGAGAAACTTAGCGAACAGCTCAATATAAGTTAAGGGTAAGAAGGCTTAGAACCAGAAGATCGACAATAGGCGCTGTTTTCATACTACGCTAATTGGTGGAAAAATCTAGAGAGTTCAACACACCCCTATTCTTATACTTTGTCGATCTAAGTCATGCATTCGATAGAGTCGGCCTGACGATGCCGTAACTACCCTAAACGGCAACAACATGATCGAAGAATATTGCAGAGTAACCAGAGAGCTTCATACCGGGAACTCAACCGGAAGCAAATCGGAGGACGGTCTCTCCTAATATTGGAATCAGGCAGGGAGACAGCGTTAGTCCCTACCTATTTTATATCATACTATTCTTCTTTTTTAGCCCGTGTTTGTCCACTCCTGGATATAGACCTCTTCGAGTGACTTCCATGTCGATCTATCTTGGGCGGTCTTTATCCAATTATTTTTCTATTTTTTTTACTGGTATTGTATCCCCCTGCCTGACACCTCGCTGTACTTGGACTTTTGCAGTAACACATTCTTCTTCAATTTTTACGTGCATGTTTGTAGATAAATCGTATGATGTCCGAATATCTGTAATCTATGCGAGCGTTGTTCATGACCTC